ACTCGAGTCTCTCGTTCAGAGACGCTAAACGGTTTTTTTGACAGTCTCTCTCAGCGACACCAGAGAGACTCGATGAGAGACGGAGACTCGAGTCTCGCTTTCAGAGACTCTGAGAGACAGAACATTTTTATCTCGGGATGCTTTACGCCTTTTACGCTTTCACCAACTACTTAATTATTTATAACAATTAGGTACTAGTTTGTTTCAACGGTTTCAAAAAGTCACAGATTGATTGATTTTTTGAAAAGCTTTTTGAATGAGGCCTAACAATTGGTTTATGACATTGGTTGGTGTAATATTTTATGGAAAGTTCGCCAGAATTAACCACAAGATTTCCCACTTACCACAAGATAACACATATTAGCTTGATCAATAAATCCATTCATCAGTAATCCTCTCCATCCATATATTATGAATCCTTTTTTTTATATGCTCTTCCTCGTCCAGAATAATACCGACATTCAATAAATCTTCCTAAGGTCCCAATATACCTACTTGCAATCAATTTCGCATTATCTGCTTCTATAGTCCACATGTGCGGAATGGAAACACTACGTTTAAATGTGAATATTAGATTGTACGGAACGTTTGCAGAATGGATATGGAATGATAAGGGAATGAGTAATGAGAACTGACGTTTAATTGTTTTTTGTTTTAGGGAGAAAATTGAATCTTATTGGTACTCATCTTTTATCATTATTTTTCTTATTTTTGATTAAGTATTTGTCACTCACTTTTCTAAATCATTTTGATTAGGAAGCTCTTCGTGAGAACTATAGGATCCCTTTGTAACATTTAAGTGCATGTTCGATATGTCTAATTAATTTTAATTGGCCACAATGGAAAACGTAATTTGTCTCCACCGAAGGATGACACCTTTTGGCGCGTTTTAGTTTTTTTAAACGTATATATGTGGATTTTTGAGTTGTATTTGTTTTTTTTTTCTTGGATCCACCCTAGATCCAAAATTCTGTGTATACTCCGATAAAAAAGCCTACACATTTATGTATCTAACGCTTTAGATATACTTCAAAAGATTGTTTCTTCAAATTGATACATTTTTCTTATACTTATCTGAAGAGCTGATTGTAGATATAAAAGGTTTTGTTATACATATTCGAGAACGTTTTAAAATTCATTGCGGTAGTATTACGAAATAATAAAAGTGCCTGAAAATCGTGCTGCAGTAAACTTACAAATTACATTTCCGCATCTTAAAACGTATACATATATACGAGGTCTATTCAAAAAGTACCGCGAATTTTGTGATTTTTAAAAATTATTTATTAACTCATGAATATCCACTTTGTCCACTTTATAGTAATCCCCAAAAGATATTATACACTTGTGCCAACGTTTTTTATAATCCTCGAAGCACGTCAAAAAAAAATTTTTTTTTGATCTTGTTCAACTCATGGGCCTCTTCAGTTTCGGGAAAAAGACAAAGTCACAGGGTGCCAGATCTAGAGAATACGGTGGCTACGGCATTATTAGTGTGTTGTTTTCGGCCAAACAATCGCGAATAAGCAACGATGTGTGAGCTGGGGTGTTATCATGGTGCAAAAGCCAATTTTTGTTCATCCATGGCGGATTACTTCGCGCAAAACCTGTAGGTAATATTCCTTATTGACCGTTGTACGCTGTGGCAAGAACTCACGATGTACAATGCCCCTGCAATCGAAGAAAACTGTAAGCAAAATATTCACATTCGACCTAATTTGGCGCGCTTTTTTCGGTCTTAGCTCGTGCGGCAGCTTCCATTGGAATAATTGAGCTTTGGTTTCCATATCATAACTATAAACCCATAATTCGTCACCAGTTGTGACCCTCTCGAGCAAATTTCGATCGCCGTTGATAGAGTAAAACAGCTCCTTCATGCGATGCTGTTTTTGTTCGAAATTGAGCAATTTTGGTACGAATTTCGCGGCGACTCGTCTCATGTCCAAATAGTTGATAAAAATCGAATGCCAATCGACATGTTTAGGTTATTATTAGATTATGTTTCAGTGAGACACATGAGTATCAACATAACGTAACAAAAAAATCAAAATTCAAAATACGCGATACTTTTTGAATAGACCCCGTACGTAAACCAGCGCTCCGTGCTTTCACAATTTCTTTTTACTGCCAAAGTTCGCAATTTGTGTAATTTAATTTCTCGAACACAAAGAAATTCAACCATCATCTGCGTAATAAAATCTGTTCACTCATACATTGTTTCCGCTAGAAATAAATGGAAGATTATTTTATCTGTTTTACGTTTTTCTCATTCAGCACTGAATATGTCAAAGGATGTGGCAGGAGCGACGTTTATGGCCGCAGCAACTTCTGCTCCGGAGTTATTCGTGAATGTAATTGGAACCTTTATTACAGAAGGTGATATTGGTATAGGAACCATTGTTGGTTCAGCTGTATTTAATATACTGGCAGTAGCTGCTTGTTGTGGATTGGGAGCAGGCATGGTAAGCTTTGATAACATCATTATTTGATGTAAGAGAGTATTTTTATAGTTTTGAGTGCTTGTAGGTACTTATACAGTCAGTGCAACAATCAACATTAACTGTCTTTTGTAGGACCTTTAAAATTTCATAGTATATATAGGGTTGTTCTGAAAGTCATTTCGTTTTTTCCCGACAGAGGATTTAATTGTATTCTTTTGTACCCAACTTCACATTTAAGCCGTATAATTTTTATATGCTTTGACACCTCATATAGCAAGGCTTGTGTGTGAAAAATTCCAATTAATTCTACGCAGTAGTTTTTGGTTGGTGCCCTTTTAAATATGGAGAGCGATAAGCAGCATTTTCGACATATCTTACTGTTTTACTACAGAAAGGGTAAAAATGCTGTTCAAGCCAGAAAGAAATTGACTGATGTGTATGGAGAAGGTGTGTTGACAGTACGCCAGTGCCAGAACTGGTTCGCTAAATTTCGATCCGGCAATTTTGATGTCGAAGATGCACCACGTTCGGGAAGGCCGGTTGAAGCTGATAAAGACGCGATAAAGGCATTAGTTGATGTGAACCGGCGAATAACAACACGTGAGATCGGATTGAGGTTAAATTTATCAAATTCAACAGTTTATGACCACTTGAAAGGCCTGGGATTATCCTCGAAGCTCGATGTATGGGTTCCCCATGTTCTCACAGAGAGAAATCTGTGTCGCCGCATTGACGTCTGCGATTCGCTTCTCAAACGTCACGAAAATGATCCGTTTTTGAAGCGCATCATCACTGGGGACGAAAAATGGGTTGTATACAACAACGTCAAACGCAAGAGGTCATGGAGCAAAAAAGATGAACCGGCTCAAACCATTTCCAAAGCCGATATTCACCAAAAAAAGGTGATGCTGTCTGTTTGGTGGGATTTTAAAGGAATCGTTTTTTTTTAGCTTTTACCGGATAACACAACGATTAATTCGGAAGTCTACTGTCATCAGCTGGACAAACTGAATGATGCACTTCAACAGAAAAGGTCAGAACTAATCAACAGGAAAGGTGTAGTGTTTCACCAAGACAACGCGAGACCTCACACAAGTTTGGTCACTCGCCAAAAGCTTTTACAGCTTGAATGGGATACAATGCTACACCCACCATATTCTCCAGACCTGGCACCATCGGATTATTATTTGTTCCGGTCACTCCAAAATTTTTTAGACGGTAAAACCTTCACCTCAAATGAGGAGGTCAAAAACCTCCTCGATCAGTTATTTGCCAGCAAACACCAAAAGTTTTATGAGCGTGGAATTATGCTACTACCAGAAAGATGGCAAAAGGTGTTGGACCAAAACGGTCAGTATATAATTGAATAAAGTATTTGTTTATTATACGAAAACTGTCTTTCATTTCCATAAAAAAAACGAAATGACTTTCCGAACAACCCTATACATTTGATGTTAATAACAAGAACATAATATTGAGGAAAAGTTTCTACTAGCCAAATGGAAAAGCGATAACTTATCCATTAAAATGTTATTGTTCTTACTCCTATTTTTTTTAACGTTCAAATTATGGCTTTCTAGAAAGTTATGTGAATACTCTTTAAGACCAAAATAAGTAAGAGACCGCAACGTGTGCTTTTGTAGCAAGCAGAAGTAGACCCTTCAGGAACAAGACTCTTCTACTTCCACTTGCAACAAGAATATGCGTACAATGGTTACTCTAGATAAAAGCGTTAGAAATTTTGCAGATTTTGAACCAAATCATGCACTATGTATTAATATTATTAGGTATGTAAAAGCAGCAACTAACTATAAATGTCATTTTTATTCAAAATAACATTTAAACAATAAATTTTTATGGTTGCAAGTGCTACCTACAATAAGCACCACCAAGAATACAAGACTGAAGTGCTATCAACGTAATCGAGCCATCATCAAATAGATGCCTAAAGCTTCAAATTAAGGGAGTGACTTGCGCCAATTGTAAACATACTAAACATCCCCCTAAGTCAAGCGGAAAGAGTTAAAAAAATTAAAGCTTAATACTGCCGTCCTTTGGAGTTACTTCCTAACGTTTCGCTAGCAGGAGATGCGACTTCTTCAGAAGTCCTTCTCCGCATGTGGAAAGTCTGATCAGAACGATATCAGTCCAACTCGAAACTCTTTGCCAATTCCTCATCAAAATTTTATAAATAATTTAACTCGATAGAGTAGGTATACCATACCCACAGAAAACGTAACAACTTCAATTTCTAATGCTTATTATAGCATATTTAATTAAATAAAGCAACTACAAAATGTTGCGAAAATCACTAAGCAAAAAAAAGGGCGCGTATTATTATTGACTATGGAAGCAAAACTTTATTGAGAACTAGTATAACCCATCGAAATTTAAATGGATGGTACTATTGTCGATGGTACAAAGCACTCATAGTTAACCATGACAGTTCCTACTTAGCTCAACCTGATGATCTTGATCTCGTTGGTGAACGTTTTGCCACTACTTCACTCTATCAATGTCCTAATTACCGAATATTGAAATTTAACTTCAACTAGTCAAAAGAGTAATGACTTTTAATTAAAAATAGAAAAGTAAAATGTTATACTTTAGTAAGTATTAACATCCCTTAGAAGTTTCTCTGTAGTGACGTCAGATTTCAGCACTAAGGCATTGTATTCTGCAGGGTGTTGTTACACTGCTAACAAAGTTTTTAGTTTGGTTTGATGATTTTGGTGAAGAGTTAATAAATATGATTTCACTATTTCTTGCAGTCCGGTGTACAGGTCGTACCATTGGACTGGTGGCCTTTAACACGAGACTGTTTAGCCTATGGAATAACCGTGTCGATCCTGATTTGTATCATCCACGACGAGCGCATCGAATGGTATGAGGCTCTCAGTTTGGTGCTTCTTTACATTGTCTATATCCTCATCATGTATTTTGATAAGTCGATTCAAAAATGCGCAAGAGGTAAGGCGTTAAAATTACCTGAAATAACAAATACTTTTTTACTATATGAAACACCTTGACATTTAATAGTGATCAATACTAAATGTGAAAAATCATTTATTTACTTTTTTCATCCACTATAAATTATTTTGCTGCTGGTGTCATCACACCCTCGCCGGGAATTGAACCCGGGACCTTTGGCTTTACGCACCAACGCTCTGGCCAGAAAGCTACGAGAGATGACAATTGCAACAACGACGTACCGGGCTTATTAGGTCACAGATCCGTCGAACTAATGTTCGACGGGTTCGATTCCCAGCGAGGGTGAGACAACAGAAACATTTTTTTTCTCATTATTTCATTAACTTGAGCTAATTTATAGTGAATAAAAAAATTAATTGAATGTTCACATTGGATACTTTTTTAATAATTTATAGCACCACAAAACATAAAAATATTCACACAGTTAGCACTGCCTTTTTTCCACCCTTATTAATATCTTTTAGGTGGCGTAGCAAAAGCACGAAAGCACGGCAAAAGACGTGATGAAACAAATTCTACTGCAAAAACACACGCACCGGCTGCGGGTAAGCGAAACTTTTTTCCAATATGTTCTCTCTACCTTCTCCATATTCAAAAGCTTAAATCATATACCTGTTATTCAAATGAACGTGTAGGTAATATTAAAATGACAAAAAATGGTTTTACTACCTTTTGCTTAGTTCATAAACTAATAGTAAAACTGAAAATGTTGTGTCAATTTCATGTATATCACATCAAGCGTATCTAAAAAATTTACCGCAGTGACCCACATGAAGCTTTTCGTAGTAACAGATTTCACTGTATACATTACTAACCTTAAGTTTAAAATATGGATACAGTCAAGTGAATAAAAAATAAAACAGTTTATATCTTGTATGATATACAGTAGGTATATTACATAATAAGATTTTCAAAATTTGGGTAAATATACTACAATAAATCAACTACGTATTCTCATAAATTTCTACCACACATTTCCAGACGCTCTGGTGACTGATAACTAAAGATGTGCAAAATGGTTTTATAAAAGTATTTAAATACAAAATGCAAATACTTTATTGATTTGTTATTTCAAATGTAAAATACAAAATAGATTTCCCTTTTGTATTTTAAATGCTTAATGCAAAATACGTATTATCAAAATACTTCTTTCAAATAAACTTTACTTTTTTGTAGTAGCTATTTAATCTTCTGCATTTACATAAATATAAAATATTTTTTAATAAAACTTTGCAGGCATTTGCCCATTTTTTTAAATATTTTTCTCGACTAATAGTGGTGTTTGCACTATATCACCAGCTGCGAAGATTAAGTATGATTGGTATTTTTCTGTTTGAAGTGATTGAGATATGTTTTTCTATCTTTATGTTATAGTTTCTTCAGTTCAGCAACAAATAATTCTTCTATGTGCTTCGTTATTTGCCTTCTTCGGCCGTTTTAATTGACAAAAAGACACTAACGCCAAAATAGTTTGCTTAGCGTGAAAGATCAGATCCAAAATAGGCTTGATGTAAAATCACCATCAATCATTTTATATTAAAATATTTACAACCCCATTTTATTTGTAATCTTTTGTACATTGTACCTAATAAGAGAAAGAAATGGAATTCACAGTTTCTTTAGCTTTGGGTTCATCTAATAAGCGAAGTTTTTCGAATCGTTTTCTATGAATTTTGTATTATATGCATTTATTAGCACACCACAATATTTTGTAGTTTTCAGTTTTACACACTGACGGTATTTTTTAGAGGACTTTTTTGTTGTAATTAATAGAATTTCGTAGTTCCTTGCTAAAGGTACGATAAGTGGTGATTAGGAAGGCGCTGATACGAATTTGAACTTCAAAATTCCGTGGACTATGACATTGAACACAGAAAACAACATCGATCCTATATTTTAGATTATTCATTTGCAAGGAGTTTAGAAATTTTTGGACTCTCTTCACTTAAAGAATTAAAAGGCATTCATAGAATGTCTCTTTGTCCTTTTTTAAGCTTCTAATACCTTCAATAGGCAATTAACGGCAAATAGTATTTTGCATTTTACAAATAGAAAATACGTTTGAAAAAGAATTTTAAATANTATTTTGTATTTTGTATTTAAATTTTAAATGCATGTATTCCAAATCAATCATATCTTTGCTGATAACTTTATAAGTACACTGTTCCTATATATAGTACTTTATTGCGTTAGTGCAAAAAGCAATTATGAAACGTATTTCACGATGTTATCATTTTTTATTAGGTGCATTTTATAATTTTTTAATAAACATCACACTAACTTAAAAAATACTTAGGTCTCGTCATTCAAAAATTTGTATTGCATTATAATTCCATTTTTCAAGTGAAATGAGTACATTTCATTGTTATCAGAGGCAGCTGAGTCACAATTGCCCTTAAAGCAAGATAAGAGGCCATCTACAGGTGAACTGCAGGTCCATGTTATATCTCCGAATCATTTAAATGGAGCAGCGGTTAAAGTGTCCCAGCAAGACGTCCCTGAACCGGCTCCCCCTCAAGAAGAATACATCGGTCCTGACTTTAGCGAAGTTGAAAGTCCCTCTTTGTGGAAATGGCCTTCGGAGAGCGGAACTTTTACAAAGGTAAATGTTGCCAAATTAACATGAAACAATCGCTACTATTATCACTCGTAGTTCAATAATTCAAAAGCAAATTTTCTTAATAATCAGAACAATTCGAGACAATTTCAAAAGATCTTAATTAATTGATTAACTCATCTCGACCTGTTACATACTTAATTAACTGAAAGGTAGGGAGAAGCTCTATGCTTAAACTTTGTTTTATAAATACATACGTACGTACATTTACAGTCGAATAAGTTTCATTGTAACCGGTGTACGAGGTGATCGATCTTTACTGAATTTTAAGGTTGAGTAGATATTTGTTGATAAAGAATTCTAGTGGAATAAATATCCATCAAGTTTGAGAAAGCATATTTTCTATTTCTTAATAGGGGAAGCACTTTTCATAATCCTCTTATATGCATAGATAAAAAATGCCTTGTGACCATCTTACCAATTATTATTTCTTGAACAGTTTATTAATTTCTAAGCAAAACTAGTAGAGCTATTGCAAACTCTCATGGGCCGTAAAACGTATCAGGGACAGACTTTATTGCATATATACCTATTATAGGTACATATCAAATAGTAATTAGCAAAATTGGTTTTGATCTTGCAATCTTGGTATTGATTTTAGTCATGAATATTCGCAAGACTGTCTTTATACTAGCAAGACCAAAACCAAGACTAAAACCAAAACCAAGTACTCAAGATTAAACTGAAAATTATTACTTCCGATGGATTCATGAGTTAAACTATTTATATAGTATTTGAAATTTTAAGTTTGCTTTACTAAATTTTAACACTAAATATAAAAAATATAAGAAACTACCTCTATTTGAAAAAAAGGATTTACAAGAGTATCTACGGAGTAAGTGCTCTTTGTTCTTATGTCTGGATATCACATGGTTGAAATATAGAGACAAACTAGTTTTTGAAGTGAAACTTCTTTACGCACGGTAGGGTAAGTTCGTTCCATGCGAGTTGCTATGTAACGAAATCATGCAACGCATTTCCCCCGCTGTCTGTCCCTATGTATGCTTAGATCTTTAAAACTACGCAACGGATTTTAATGCGGTTTTTTTTAATAGATAGAGTAATTCAAGAGGAAGGTTTATATGTATAATACATGCATAATATAGTAGAGAAACACTGATAATTTTAGAGGTTTGTAATGTGATGTCGTAAATAAACACATTTTTTTGCGCTTACATTGCAAACGCTGGCTGAACCCTACGAGATAGATCAAAATAATATACTACAGTATTGTACACCTTAAAAAGGTCTACAAAAAAGTCCGGGATGGTATATGTCTATCTCTTAGGGATAACCCACAATAACCATTTTTTATCCTTTACTTTTTACGAGAAATAATGGCTTATTTACGAAGCGATTTTAAGCAATACAGCATTAATCCTTATCCAATTAAGTACTTTTAAATACATTGTGCATTTAATATAGATCAATATGGCCCTTTACAGCATGTAATTTAAATGAATATTTTCGAAGATATTACAGACTTAAAATGCAGGGACATAGCGGTTGCGGCGGTACCGGCCGGTTTGTATTGTCTAATGACAAAAAAGCTGTGATTGTTGTATATAAAGACATTCTATAGTATATTTACTATCAGCATTGCACCCGTGCGAAGCATAGTGTACAAATAATACCATTAAACCAATTCCTTAACCTCTATTCCGGTATGTTTGTGTGTTTAAAGAAGTTTCACTTCAGTAGAGTGTTGTATAATTACACGTTGTATTTTTTTTTAATACATATTTTATACTTTTTTCAAGTACCTTCTAATATTTAATTCGCTATAAGGTAAATTTTCCGATTTTTATAACGTTTACAACTATCGACATTATTTTCATTAAAAGTCATGACAAACTCGCATGTATGACAGAAAATTTCAGCATTTGATACAATTATTATGTCGGTAAATAGAAAAATTTGTGCTTAGAATTATTAAAAAAAAAAATACAACGTGTAATTATACAACACGCTACTGAAGTGAAACTTCTTCAAAAACACATCTCATACCGGGATAGGGGTTAACGAATTGCTTTAATGGTATTATTTGTACACTATGAATTTAAATTTTACACTATACATGCCGGAGTTGCCTGTAACGAACGTTGCACTGATGCGCGCTCACGGCTCAAGCGATCCCCACTACGAACTCGACTACGTGACTGAGTAGAGGGGGGACAACAGTTGCATGATTTCGTTACACAGCAACTCGCATGAAACGAACTTATCCTACCATGCGTAAAGAAGTTTCAATTCAAAAAAGTATCAGGTTGGATTAGCAACACCAATACCGAGATCAAGACTAGAAGTATTTGAGTAAGTTTAAGACCAAAACTGGGACAGTCTTGTTCTTGATCTTGATTTGCTTATCACTAATTTCAAAAATCGTGAATGGATTGACAACCATATTCCTTATTACACAATCAGGAACGAAGCTACAGATAAACTGTAAACTGTTAATACTTTTAAAAGGTGCATGCAATGCTTTTATTATAACTGTAAAGACTAGTGAATATATTCACTTAAAATTAGTGAAAATTTCATTTTCAAAGACTACAATTTTTATAATAAATAGTAATTGTTATCAATCAATTTTGTTGTTCAGGTGACTTGGATAATAACGTGGCCAATACACCTTGTATTCCTTTGTACCATACCGGACTGTAACAAACCGAAATTGAAAAATTGGTTTCCACTGACATTTGTTATGTGTATAATTTGGATTGGATCGTTATCGTACATCGTTGCTTGGATGATCACCATCATTGGTGACACCCTAAAAATTCCAGACTCTGTAATGGGAATCACTTTTTTGGCAGCAGGAACCAGCGTCCCAGAAGCTGTGTCAAGTGTTATCGTCGCAAAACAAGGTGTGTGTGTATAACTTCTATGTATCTTAAGTATGAAAAGTAAAATATAGAAACGAAACGATTTTGGTGTGGATAGGTAAGATAGAATTCAACAGTTTTTCCTTTGTACTATTTTCAATTAATCTTTCTTTGTGCCTCTTTCACCCTTCGAGCATGGAAGAAGTGAATTTCTGTAAAAAATATATATACGAGGTCTGTCCAAAAAGTATAGCGAATTTTGAATTTCCGCGGGTTACGTATATTCGATTTTCAATTTTTTTGTGAAGTTACGCTGGTGCTCATGTCTCTCCCTTATAGCGACAAATTTGACCAGGTTGCATGTTCGGTTAATTTTTGACAGCTGCTTTGTTTGCACGTGTTTTGGCTCGTCTTCGATTTTTGCCTATTTCAATAAATGAATCAAAGAATCTGTATCAAATGTGTGAAAAGCAAAATTAAGTGCGCGGACGCATTCCGAATGTTGGACCGAAGCAACATTTATCGCTGGTACAAAATGTTATCATAGAGCCGAAAAGATGTGAACGACGAAGAGCGTGCCGGACGCCCGAGCACGTCAACAACAGACGAAAACATTGATGAAGTGAAAAAATAGTATTGACCAATCGTCGAATCATCGTTAGAGAAGTTGCTAAGGACCTAAACATATCGATTGGCTCCTGCCATTGCATTTTTATCCATGATTTGGGTAAGAGACGGGACGTCGCGAAATTCGTACCAAAATTGCTTTATTTTGATCAAAAACAGCTTCGCATTTTAACATTACTAAGGAACTGTTTTACTCTGTTAGCGACGACCCAAATTTGCTCTAGAGGGTCATAACTGGTGACGAATCATGGGTTTATGGTTATGACGTGGAAACCAAAGCTCAATAATCCTAATTAAAGCTGCCGCACAAACCAAGACCGGAAAAAGCGCGCCAAGTTAGGTCAAATGTGAAGGTTTTGCTTACCGTTTTCTTCGATTGCAGGGGCGTGGTGCATTATTAGTTTTGCCACAGGGTAAAATTGTCAATAAGGAATATTACCTGCAAGTTATCCGCAATTTTCGGGAAGTAATCTACCAGAAACACCCGAATTTGTGGAAGAACAAAGATTGACTTTTGCACCATGATAACGCCCTTGCTCACACAACGTTGCTTGTGTGCAAATTTTTGGCCAAAAGAAAACTAATAATGCCGCAGTCACCATATTTCCCAGAGCTGGTCCCCTGTGCCTTTTTCTTTTTCCAAATGCTGAAGAGGCCCATGAAAGGACGACGTTCCACTACGATTGAGGAGACAAAGACGGCATCGAAGGAGGAGGTGAACAAAATCACAAAGTTTGAAGTGCTTGGAAGATTGGAAAAAACGTTGGCAGAAGTGTATAATATCTGGGGGGATTACTTTGAGGGGGACAAAATGGATATTCATGAATAAGTAAATAATTTTTGAAGAAACACAAAATTCGTGATACTTTTTATCAAATCTCGTACATATACGTATGTAACGGTTTCGTGACAGCCTATCCCCTTAAGAACCCTAAAGAGACTATAACTGAATTATTCGATTTATGATAACTTACATCTTCAAAAGTCGAACTTGGTACACATCCACAAATAAAGTTTAACTACTAAAAATTACTATGAAATTGTTTTTTATTTTTATTTACTTTACAGGTCATGGCTCTATGGGTATAAGTAATTCAATTGGTTCAAATACGTTCGACATTTTACTGTGTCTAGGACTCCCATGGTTCATCAAAGCCACTTTTTCTCCAACATTACCGGGGAAACACTGGGTAAGTGTTTGTAAAACAATATTATAGGTAGGTATCATAAATTTTGCAAATCATAGTGCATTCTATGAANTCGCAAGTCTTATCGAACTCAATGCGTTCTTTAGGGTCAACTTGCCAACCTGCGGACGGTGAAGTATGCAAATAATGACCTGATTATTGTAAAAAAAATAAATTAATAACAGAATTATTTCCATCCAGACAACAGATTCTACTTCCATAGTAAGGTTTAGATTATAGAGAATAACGTACTATTACAAATTTCGAATTATTATTGTAATAAGAACATTTGTCTTTCTTTAAATATGTATTAAGTATTACTCATTTTTCTTTAACTCTATACACAATGTGCTGCTTATTATCTTGAAAATGTGTTGATGGTAGTATAGTTGGATTGCATTTTCTTAAAAAAATATTTATATTTTCCAAATGATTCTCTATTCGTCATTGTGATAAATCATCACTAAATATAACACGAAAAATGTCTCGAAAAGGAGGGATAAAACGTTAAGGACTAACGTCCTTTACACGTATTTTCATCAGATGAAAGTATCAAATATGTAAGCCATATGTATCAAGTTGCATCTTTGGAAACAGATGGTTCATAACGTCCTATTAAAAATTAACTCAACTCTATACCCTTGAAAACTCTCCTATTTGATAAAGCAGGTTAGTAAATTTATGGTAATTAGTTCTGTCGATATTTGAAACTAGGACGGTAAATCTTGACGACGGAAGTTTGTGTACAAGACATTCTAATTAGTCTCTCGCTCGTCTAAAACACCTGTAGTCTACGAATATTGCATTGAACCGGTGCACTGCGGCAGTTAATGTAATGAAAATGCATATATATGGGGTTAAAGGAAGTTGTTGAACTGTACTGACCCATTTATAGCATCTACAAGTCGACAATTTATGAAGCACCATGCAACAAGTGAGCTACAGTTAAAACGATCAATATTGGTGTAGTCCGCAATAAATTATTTGTGAGAACGGAAGTATCTTCTTTCTTGTTTCAACTTGTACTGTAGTAATTTGTTACATTTTGAATACGCCCTTGTTAAGTTAGGAAATGATTCATGAGTAGTACAGATAAAGTGAAAAGAGATAACCGAATAATAGTAAGCGGTACAGCGGTTAGAAATTACTGAAGTACGCAAAAGATCACGGTGGACTTTATAACTTCCTGGTTGGAATTGTATCTTTAAGCAAGCGTCATTGCTTTCCTAAATTCCTGAGAATGTTGAACTTTCTTTAAAATCCGATGCTGCCAACATGCTCAAATACTGCTTGTCTGCATCTCCTTCTATTACACATCAATTGATGTGATGTTATTCCCTTTTCATTATTAGTGTCCGCTGCAATTCCTACCTGACATCTCTTTTCTATGTTTACAATATTCCCTGTAACGTCTGTCGTTGATAAAAATAGTCGATCTATCAGTAACCGCTCTGGTCTATTACGTGACTTGAAAGAAGAAAGTAAATGCAACAATTTTAATTTTAAATATCCCAACTATAGACGGCTGTTCAAAGGATACATGCGAAGCAAAGTGCTACATAAATATGTTAAAAAAGCATCACGGAATTTTGAAGATATTTTTCAATATTTCTCTTTTTTTTTGCATTTACAGACATTTTTGATACAACTTACAACCATATATACCTTTTTGTCCAAAAAAGATGGGAGTCGATAGGATAGGATGTACTTTTCCCTTGAAAATTTTGAGTTTTATATTAGTTAAGGATAATGATATTTAAGATAAAAATCAAATAATTTCAACTATTTAAGTATGTACAAATGTGATAAGAAATAATCAAATTTAATAAGTCATTCAAGTTAACAAGTTAGCAGTACAAGTTAGTTTATGTTATCATTAATTACTTATTAAACTAGTAAAAAAATAATTAACCTGAGTTTTCTCTATAACTAAAATATAAGTAAAATTGCTTATGTCATTGATTAGTTACGGATTAGTTTCTTGGTCAGTAATAGTCATGCGTGTATCACGATTTGGACCTTATTGGATTTCATTAGCACAGTATAGGCTTCTTCCCTTCTTCAAAATCCTTTGACGTCCACTACTGGACATGAGTGTCCCCCAATTTTCTCCATTTCTTCCGATTCTTTGCCTTCTTAAGCCAATTGAGGTGAGTTTTTTAATGTGATCATCAATGAACATCAGCAAGACAAAAACCATGACCAAGACTAGAAGTATTTGAGCACTAAGACCGAATAAGCAAGGGCTAGATCAATACTAACATTGGAGCAGTCTTGGTCTTGATATTGCTTTGCTCACAACTAGCGTATAGCGTGCTGATGAGATCGATGTCGCTATTCACCTCTTGTAATTTCAACAAACTGCTCATTTATAACTTAATCTATAAATATATATGTTTATATATATATATTATATTTACTTATGCCTTTTCTATTTTTTATTTAACAGGAAATGTAAAATTGCATATAAATATTGTTGTATGGCCACAGTAAATTTGTGGATTTTTCTTGACTAGTTCATTCTAATTCCAGGTGGGAATCAATTCGGCCGGAATAGAATACAGTGCAATATCACTGCTTTCATCCCTTCTGTTGCTTTATGTGGCATTCGCCCTGAATAAATTTAAGCTGGACAAACGCGTTGGGAGGGCATGCCTTCTTATGTACGCTGCATTCCTTATTCTCGCAAGTCTTATCGAACTCAATGCGTTCTTTAGGGTCAACTTGCCAACCTGCGGACGGTGAAGTATGCAAATAATGACCTGATTATTGTAAAAAAAATAAATTAATAACAGAATTATTTCCATCCAGACAACAGATTCTACTTCCATAGTAAGGTTTAGATTATAGAGAATAACGTACTATTACAAATTTCGAATTATTATTGTAATAAGAACATTTGTCTTTCTTTAAATATGTATTAAGTATTACTCATTTTTCTTTATACACAATGTGCTGCTTATTATCTTGAAAATGTGTTGATGTAAAGCAAAAAAGTATTACACTTAAGGTACTGTTCTATTTGATAATAATTTGCTTAGAATAACCAAAAGATTCTGCTACATTTGTAGGATTCTTGTTGAACTAAAAATAGCAGTAAGCTTATAAAATTAAATTAATTAATTTTCCTGTCGGAAGTGGAATTTCTGCCAATATTTTCTGCCTTATAGTTTTCCATTAGCATGATTTTATCATTTTATATTAGTTCTCACAATCAATAAAATTTTTTTGGTTGACAATTGCAAGTTGCTTATTGACGATTATTTTTAAAAAATTTATAAAAATAATGAAAAATTATCATTTTTTAATGTAGTAATAGTAATCATAATAAATGCACTATTGTTAAGTACCTAAGGAAAATGGAAAAGGAATAAACTTGTTTCTCCTGGAAGGTTTTGTCGTGGCAACTACAAATATTCGAAATAAAAAGTCCATTTAATTTTTAAGGTTTATTGTAATCATTGTTATGTTATTTTAAAACAACACTTACTAACTAGATATATTCTAGATTTAGTACAACTAGACTGTGTAAGGTATTCTGCAATTAAAAACAACTTTACTTTGTAAGTACATAATAAAATGAAAAACAGCAAATTATTTTAACCTAATTATTTTTCCATAAATTTTACAATATTAACTCTGTATAGTCTAAAAATTATGATAAATAACTCCCTGTACTAAGTATCTAATACATACATATAGAGGAACTTGTCATGACTGACTGCATAGCTCATGTTCATGGATATTTTAAGAGCACATATCCTGACTATTCCAGAGGGGTACAGTAAGAACGTATTTTGCAAAAATCGCATTCAAAGGGGTTGAAAAAGAAAAATAAAACAAAATCTAAAAAAAATTTCAAATAAAGTTGAGTGAGGTGTCACTCGAAATAACGAAATTTGCAAGAATGACGTATATTCTTCGATTTTTGACCAGAATCATTGTTTTTGAGTTATATAAGCTGTTTTGAACCTTTATCACAAATGGAACTTTTTATGTATGGACAGAAAATCTGCTTGAACACATACGACAAAAAAGGCAGAGAAGATAAATGATGTCATCATCATCATAGAGTTGTCAGTCCGAAAAGACTCTAGGAGAACACCCACCTTTCTATTCTGAACTAGGACATACTAGGTATATCCCTTACTATTTGCAAACAGTAATTTAATCTAGGTCTTCTGCCTGTCTTTACCCCTATTTCTGCTTGCAGTATGTTTCTAACTAGTGCCTATTTTAAATCTCAGACAGTGTCTTACTAACCTACCTTACCTATCTTTTATTGATTTACATAACGTTCCCTATTCTTCTACTTTTTAGGGTTCCGTACCTCTAAAAGAACAAAGAAACACTTATAGCAGAGCCGTAGGAGTCGCTACTTGAGGTTAGTTTGGGTCACTCCATACCCTTCAATGAGTACGAGAGAGTAAGCAGTAATGACCCATATTGCTTTCTTTTTTTCTTCTCCCTTCCACTCCCATATCAAGCCCCTTCATCCCGTAGACGAGCGAAGCCTCCCTCGCAACTTAAATAATAGCTACGAAAATTTTGTAACGATCGTCCCGCAGCTCAGGGGTAGCTTACGTTCGCAATACTATTGGGTTCGGCTATGTAAGAGGGGACTCACCTACGAAATGGAAGGGATAAGAAAAGGAAAGAATCATCTCACTCGCAGGCGCAGGAGCAATGAGGAGCTCCTTGACTATACCTGAGGAGCACCCGGGAATCAAAAGAGCCGAGTTTGCCCGGCTCTGAGTTATAGGATCACTTCGTTGTCCGTCTGTCTGTCTGTGTGTTTCTCAAAACCCTTTTACTCAGAAGCGTATGGAGGTATCAAGTTGAAATTAATATCAAAACTCTCATCTACAATATCTTGCAGTTGCAAAAAACCAAAAATCAAAAAATACGGCCGTTTATACCGCATATTTTGACACTCGTATGGAAATTAAAACCGTTGTCCTGGAATCATGAAATTTGGCAAGAAGCAATGTCTAATAGCACAAGTAAAGGGAAAATCCAAAAACCGTAAATTTAAAGGTGCATAACAAAAATGTAATACTGTAATTATGTTTTAGGGGCTGATTTTGGGGATAAACTTAAAACGTACTCGGAAAATGCTGAGAAAATCTTCAAGGCTCGTTTCCGGTGACATACCTACTATTTTGTACGGAACCCTTAGCGCGCGAGTCCGTCTCGCACTTGGCCGGTTTTTTTTCTAATAATTCTTTGTTAGCCTTGATGTGTATTTTAACCATTGCATTTTCATCATCCGCCTATAACTCAACATCTCAATAGCTTCTAAGCTTTTCCTTATCTCCGCGCTCACCGCTTACATTTCTCATAATTTCATAATTTCTGTTTTATTCTTTGTCCAAAGTCTCTATATCGTTAAAAGGTCGATGCTATGAAATTCGTTACAAACAATACTTTAATACCAAATCTGGATTACTAAAGCCATAAAGTAGTTACTATCAGATTAATATAACTAATAAATCTACTGATTTAGAAATAGAAACTCATTTAAAGAAGTGCAGTAATTGCAAGAACTTACTTTAAGTAATTGCACTATAAAATACATTAAACTAGAAATTTGTACGTATTTATGGCTTTGTTTGCACTCTCGTATACAATCTTATCATAAAACATATCGCCTGTCTTTGTGATTACTGTAAAAACTCAGGTCGTTAAAATTGCTTATTTTGTTCCTTTTTTTTAGCTTCATTTGCTAGCTTCTCTTGACGAAGTTTCACGTGTCTTTCGTGCCTCCGTTTAGTCTCTAAAATTTCCTTCATTTCCTCCTTTTGATCGTCCTATAAAGAAACAAAATTGACAAAGAGACATACAAAATCGGCCTAAAGTTGGTAAGCTAACAATCGAACTTAAAATTTATAAACAATTTGTAAATATTTTGGTTAAACATTACTTGCATTACCTACTTGTATTACCTCCAATATGTACAAAAAGGGTGTGTGTGTGTGTGTGTGTGTGTGTGTGTCAACAAAGGTTCTTGTGAATAAATAAAGTTGAAAAGTTAATTTTTCAATTTATCGAAAAATACGATTAACTTTACCGTGGTACTAATAAGAATTGTGAAAAGTTAAATGTTCCTTTTTAAAATGAGGATTATTTGAAACGTAAACCCGTTAGAAGCCTTTTTTCTTTACTTTATCGATGAAAAGATTTTAACTATCAAGTAGTGCAAAATTTATTGTGATGTCAAGTTTCTGCCGAGCTACCCAAGTATGCATGTAAAGTATTATTCTTATATACAAACAACGAATGACCGTCTTAGGACAAACAGTAAGAATAAAATACACAGATAGTTGTCTTCACTTTAATTTCAATCTATATTGGAATAACTTTTTCTGGAATATTCATCGTCCAGTGATTCATACTTAGTTATCGCCATTTTTTATATCAACAGATTTGTGTACTTGACAATGTCATTCGAAGTTAGTTGTTCAGGAATATTATGATGTGAAAGTTTATGTGTTTTGTTCGGATATATAAAATATGTAATTTAAATATTAGCGGAACTTATGTAGTTTACAGTGGTGATATACCTAAACTGAACTAATGATGTGTGCATCACAGAAGACAAGAGTATTTTAAACTAAGGTAAGCAAACCCTTTTTTGTGCTTATTGATGTGAGTATTTGTAATTAGTAATAACTATAGTAATAAGTTGTTACTTTAATGGTAAGGCGGCAAAAATAGATGAAGACCATTAACTGAAGAATCAAACGAAAAAAGTCTTCATAAAGGTCTGAATGCTGAACAAGAAAATATATGTACTTATAGGTATTATGCGTATATAGGTTACATATAGTTATGTTGGCGCAGAAAATATTTGTTTGTATAGTCCTTAAGCTTCGAAAAATTAAAAAATAGAACTAGTTGAACCAAATCAAAACTAACGTGACCAAACTTGCTTAGGATAATTGATTTAGGGTAGATAAAAACAATAGGAACTAAATGATTGTTGTCGTAGGTACTCATGCCTTTTCTTTTGTTTATAACAATGCCAAGCTACAAAGGAGATAAAATGAAAAATTGCTTTCGGTTAAGTTGTTAGAAAATAGTATTAATTTTCACTCGTTTCCTGAAATGAATAAATTTTCATTAGTTGAACTAATTTCACTGAATTACTCAATCAGATGTAAAATTTACGTTCTTCGAGTTACCCAAATAATTAAATTTTTTATTATCTACAATATAATTTGGAATAATGTCGAATGAATAAACAAACCACTTTTGCTTTCTTTTTTAATCTGTTGCATTTTATGATAATTTAGGCAAAGAAAAAAAAACTACAAACTTTCTAAGTAGTAAGACATTTTTATGTAAATTTAATGAGGCCCGCAACTTCTATTTATAACAATGTCGCTCGTCTTCTATCGTACTTATATTATTTATCTACAAGCATGTCTTTCCGGCAGTTTGCCAATCACACCTTATTAGAATCAATGCATTTTATTTGATGGTTTCTTTTGCAAAAAAAGTATTCATTTCTGGTTTCATATTTGACACGATTAAAAATGAAGATTTTAGTCTATACGTACAATATTTTTGCGCACTTTGCTGAATTATTGTTTATAAAAAAAATGACCTCCCTCTTTACATCAATAAATCAGGGGTTAAATGAATTTTTTCATATGCCCCTAGCGGGATATGAAGATCTTAACCTTCACGAATAGATTGAACATAATGTAACTGAAAATGTTTCCCCAAAAAAAATTATGACAATAATAATTATTCATGTCTGTTGGGATAAACAACTAATAATATCTCACTAACAACTTGATCAATTTACTCCCACAAAAACTAGTTCAACTTCAAATTTAAAAACATACATTTTAATGTGATAAAATCATTAAAAAAGTAAATCTATCCCAATA